TTAGAAAGAATTCTATTATCAAAGATGATAGTAAACCAGAATTGATAAAGTTGAGCAGTGAGGGGTCATTACTCTCTTCCCCATAAACCGGCTTATAGGGGTGTGCAGCACACCCGCTTATAAGGAGCCCAAGACCTCCCGTTCCTGTCTGATGTAGGATAGAGGTATTTTCCTTGTGACACTTTCACCCACTCGAATCGGCAACGCTCCCGTTGCCGTTGGCCACCCTGCCTACCCCGTTGGGCCCCACTGGACCAGCCCCACCGGGCCGGGCACTTGGCGTGAGTCAGAATGATGATCGGTCTGCTCTGATACCACTTTATCACGGGGTCATTACTCTCTCCTCCATAAACCGGCTTATAGGGGTGTGTAGCACACTCGCTTATAAGGAGCCTAGGACCTCCTGTTCTTGTCTGATGTGGGATAGAGGCACTTTCCTTGTGACACTCTCACCCACCCGAATCGGTAACGCCCCCGTTGCCGTCGGCCACCCTGCCTACTCCATTGGGCCCCATTGGGCTAGCCCCACAGGGTCGGGCGCTTGGCGTGAGTCAGAATGATGATCGGTCTGCTCTGATACCACTTTATCACGGGGTCATTACTCTCTCCCCCATAAACCGGCTTATAGGGGTGTGCAGCACACCCGCTTATAAGGAGCCCAAGACCTCCCGTTCTTATCTGATGTGGGATAGAAGTATTTTTCTTGTGACACTCGTTTAGAATCATTTGAGTTGTACGGTTAAATAAAAAGCCAATACCACTTTTGAGGCTAGAAAGGCTGTGAATTGTCAATGTATATTTTTTATTCAAAATAATTCATTTATCTCCACACTATCTGTCCAAATCACAACTTTAATATTTTAAGGCTGACTTGGGTAGCTCCCTGAGCTTCAAGTCCAAATTAGAGTTGGCTGGAGCCTGTCCAGGCCCAAGCTTAATTCTCTTCAACAAATCGTTAGGCCATCCCTTAAGAGGAGGTCTTCCATTTCTGGGCAAGTGGCTTAAGTCTATCAAGACGAGACCATGATCAAGCGTATCAAAGCCGAAGAATCAGATCAAGAAATCTGGCGGTCCCAATCGCACTTGTATTGCAGGGTATATGATCAAAGTTAGCATAGAACACACCTGATCCACAAAGAAATTTACAGGAATTCTCTCTCCCGTCTTTTTCTTTCTAACAACTTGTTCTACAAGTATAGAAAGAAAAAAAGCCCATATTTATCTGTCTTGCTTATACTAAAAGCACTAGAGAATACAGGAGTTCTGATCATCGTAATCATAATTATGGCTTTGCACTTGTCTTCGATCACTCTCTTCCTTCTCATCAGCTTAGGTAAACCAATAATTTCTCTGCATTTGTTTTCCATGATAGACGCCGTTATTTTTAACACTCTCTTCCTTCTCTTCTACTTTTGCAGTTTCAAGCAAGATAATACTGGAAGAGGGGTACACGGTGACCACAGTGATTGATGGCCACAAGCTGAAGATAAATCCATACTCAGTCCTTGCTCTTCCTGGCTCCTCTGATTTGCTGGTCCTTGATTCTTCCAACAGTCGACTCTACACTGTATCATTTCCCCTCTCTAATGGTACTCATCATCATTCATCACCAATCCTACCGTTTTCTTTTATATATATAATTTTTGAAATAATAAAAAAGAATAAAATGGTTCATGAATATCTTAAAAATTTAAATGATTTTTTTCATTAAAAAAATGCAGAAAGCGAGGTAAAACGGATATCATCAGGAGAAGTAAAGCCGGGTCATCAGGACGGAGAATTGGGTCAGGCCCGATTCAATAACCCGAGAAGCTTCGCACTCGACGCTAAAGGCAACGTTTATGTTGCTGACAGGGGCAACCACGTCATTAGGAAAATCACCCCCTCAGGTCTCAGTTTTTTTGTTGTTTTTTCCCATCCATAATTAGCGATCCGTTTTCTTATTAAAAAATTTGAATTTTCTTTTTTATTTATTTTTTCTTTAATTTTGTAAAATCTTTAGGTACCGCGACGACGATCGCCGGCGGTTACTCAAAGGCAGTAGGCAACAAAGACGGGCCAGCGCAGAACGCAACATTTTCTAATGATTTTGAGTTAGCTATAGTCGCGGAGAGATGCATTTTACTGGTTGTCGAACGCGGCAGTCAATCGGTTCGCCAGATTGATCTCAAGCCGGCGGATTGCGCCACAAGCTCTCCATCAGGGCAAATTTTCGGTATCAATTTCTTGTTTTAATTGAAGCGCCTTCATACGCAGAGAACATAAATTTACTGTTATAAAGTTGCTTTGCCGATTTGGTTTACAAGTTTATGCTGCCAAAGCGCAACCTTTCAGTGATTTCAAAGTGCGATTTGGTTTACACGGTTTGGTCCTTTCTTGTCTAAATTAGGGACCATCCACTGCCTGACTTATGTGTGTTTTTTCACTAACATTGTTGTTTTCGATAAGCAACAGCTTGTTTGTGTTCTTTAGCTGCCAAGTGTTTTTTGTTGTGTCTGCAGTAAGATGGATTTTTTTTTCTGTCTTCATCTACTTTTGTTTTCAGTTAAGGATGTTGCTGTCACGTCTGGCTGGAAAATGGTTTTTGTTTTGTTTCGGTTGACATGTTTTTGGATTATTTAAGTTTTTAAGGATTAGTGAGTTCTATCTTTTATCATTGCTTTGAGGTAGATAAAGAGAGACAATGAACAGCTTAATATATGCAGATATTTGATTTTCTCAAGATATGCCAAAAGGTTGTGGTCAGTGAAATCTTTGAACATTTCAACCATCATGGATTGCATATAATTAGTTGATGTAGATGCAAAAAGTGTTTGTATTTGTATGCTGTCCATATTCATGCCCCATCCACATCCGTCCATAGCCCTTTACGTGTCAATGCTTCATGAAATTTTTACAATTTTTGTGTAAAAATGCAACTTGATAACATCGTTTATGGAAGAAAAATTATATGTTATAGCCATGCTTTCTGTAAGAGCGCATACCAAAGATGCTTATGTGTCCTTTGTGGCAGTGTGCATGAGATGCACTTGCATTTAAGCTCACTTGGGATCCCAATTTTTGTATTTAACTCAAAAAATCAAATCTCAAAATGGTACAGTGGCTCGTAACATTTTCCCCCCTTGGGCAACATGTCAATAGCTCTTTATCTTTTCATTATTTCTAGAGAACTAGTGTTACAGGAAGGAGAGTCTGCCCTCTTGTTGAGAATTATTCTAACTTATATCAGATGCATTAATATTTAATACCAGTACTGACTTTAACCTGAAGGGATAATAATTTATTGTTTGTATATTTTAATTTTTAAGGGCTTGGAGCAGTTACAATTTGGACCCTGGGTCTGGGACTTTCATGTTTACTGGGCTTATTTATGGGGATTTTACTTCGCCCTTATATCATCCCCCATGTAAGTATCACTCATTACCATGTTATTCCACAGTACCAAAGGATTACTTACACCTTCTAACCAAGCTCTGTAGACAGGAAGGCTTCACCCTCATCAGATTCAGCGAGATATGGAAGCATTGCCTAATCAATTTGAGGAAACAAGTAGTGACACTCTGCTACGACATCAAAAGCGCAGTCGCTAACTCCAAACTTTATCTATTTACGCAGAAGCTCTTTTGGTTGTGCCTTTCTCACATGTCTCTTTTGTTTAGTGTTAATTTTGTAGAATGTCAAACTTCAGAAAAGGATTCTGTTTCTTTGCTTGATTCTGATGACTTTAGTAATCCTGAGGTAAAAAAGTCTCAGATATGTTCTGATCAACTGAAAGATTTGATCTGTTGTGATGAAAACCTAGAGTTGCCATACTCAACTGAGTTCATTTTCGAGCAAGGAGATGCGAATCAAAATGGCAGTACCGTGTTACCTAACTGCCATGGAAGGATAGACACATTGATACAAGCTAATGTTATGGAGTTTGCAAACGAAGCTGAAGAAACTACTGCACTAGTGAAGCCAGTTGCGAGCAGCTCTCGTCTAGTGAAGAGAAGATGAATGAGGTAGGAATGTAAATTCTCTATCTTAGATGCTTAGGTATAGTTATGGGCTTTGTAAAAACGAGAATCGGTGATTATCCTTAATAATTAACTATCTAAACATGGTTGTGGCCGATGAAACTAGTGTATATATTGCTAAATATCATTGGGTTTGCGCTTGCAAATTGCATTAGTTCATGAGGAAACGCATCAATTCGATTGATGTGCTTGTGAATACTCTATGTATGTATGTATGGTGCGTCTCCCACTTTCTTTTCTGAGCGGTGAAGCCTGGAGGGATAGGCAAAAATTATTCAGTGGTTTGAATTAGAAGGAAAATAATAAGAAAGAAGAAATGCTTCCAATATTGATTCAAATAGACAGGTGTTCACACTGTTAATGGGCTGCAGTTGAATGCAACTCATTAATGATGCATTTTTTCAACAGGATATGGGTAATGCATGTTGCCCTATACTATATACAGTAGCTGGGGTCGATGTGTGTATGGATAGAAAGTATTCTCTAACAATGTGATGGGTAAAGTGAGGGTATAATGTAGGTATATCCTTCATCATGCCATGATATAGTATTCCCCTTCAAAAGACTAAAACATGGTGGTGGATCTTCAACGGTCTAAAGTAACATGATTGTTTATACATATCCAACATATCGACCCATAATGAAATCACGTGCACTGCAAGTCTAAGACCCTCAATTTTTGTATTATTAAGTATGAGATGCTGTTCCAATATTTCTACCCCATAGACTGAACTCATTTGCCACAAAAAATTGCAGAGACAATTGGACAACTTTTATGAGAAGCTGAAGAATGAATTAGAGAAAAGAGAGTTTCATGATATTTTATACCAGTAGCCTTACAGTATTTAGGCCGGCCGAGACTGAACCCCAGGTAGCACTAAAGCTGCTCCACAGGCCACACACACTCATTTCTCCCTCAACAAATCTTAACTGCTATATCCTAAATTTTTAAGGACCAATATCATGCTTCTAATGAGGTAATTACTCCAAAATCTCTGTTGCTTGTGATTAATAACCCCCATTGTAAACCATGTTTGATCGGAAACGAATGTTGTGATGATCATACGTTTGGTCTCCATAATCAACAGGCTTTATGGCCACAGCTTCACACTTTCCTTCTTGTTCTTGAACTGCCCCAAAAACAATCTCTTTGGTTTTCTCATTGCTCTGCTCATAGTAAGTATGCGGGGTGGATGACCGATAGCGATGATGATGATGATGCTGCTGCTGCTGCATATCGGTATCCCATCCACTGTAGAAGGCCCGGCTTTGACGCAACTGATGGATCTTTTCTGCATCCTTGGACATGAAGGGGTACATTTTCTGTGGAGTGGGGGTTCGTGTATCAATTGAAGGGGGCTCATCTTCATCTGGTATCACAAAGCTCTCTTGTGCAGGCCAGGACATTGGGTGTTTCTGTTGTTGCTGGTGCTGGCTCTGATATTGATAGCTTAGTGGCTTCTTTCTAAGACCAGGAAATACTCCTCCCAAAATTTCTAAAGCAGAAACACCAGCATTGGCAAAAAGCCTCCCAAGGGATCCAAAGAAGCCTTCTTCTTGCTTCTCTGGTTCATCTTCAGTTGGGATTAAAGGTGGCCTGACTGATTTCAGGGGTTTCTGATATGGACTCGATACAGCAGCATTCACTTTTACTGATTCCTGATCCTTCATGGGCATAGTAACAAATGTAAGAATTTCACTATGTTTTAGAAGATTTTTAATCTTAATTTTAGATGACAGTCATTTTGCCATTTTAGTAATGAATTACACAATGTGAACTAGGGGTGAATTTCTTTTCTAACAAAAACAAAACAGCTATCATGAAGCCAAAAAAAGGAGGGGGGGGGGCGCCGATGTTTGCTGTCCCTCATCTTGGATCAAGCTTTGATCTCAAGCATCTATTTCTTCTGTTATAGAACAAAGCTTAGGATTGAGGAACACTTTCAGAGATTAATATTTTACATACAAGTCTCAGCCAAAGCAAAAGTCAAGCTAAAATATGCCCAAGGAGAATCATAAGTAAAGAATTTGCATATCAAAAATAACACTGAATACTCACATTCTGGGAAGATACAATGGTGCCCACTCTACGTTGCAGCAAAGCTAGCATGTAACCAAAGAAGCCAGCTGCGACAAGTACTGCAACTCCTGCAATGATGGAAATTATGATGTATAAACCTCCTATACCAACAACTAATTAAAGATCTTCGGGTGGATTATTTTACCAAGAGGAAAACCACTTCCATACTGATAAGCACAGTCATCAAAATGGAGTTGAATCTCTCTGATAGCTTGATTTCCTCTATCTATCACGAGAAGGGAGCAACTGCTTCCAACATAGACCACATCAAAATCATTAGAAAACTTTGCATCTTCACTTGGTCCATCTACATGTCCCCCTCCCCGGCTCCATTTCCCACCAGCAATTGTTGTAACACCTGAAGAATATTCCACTTCTATCAGCAATAGTTGACAACCATCCCTATTTTGAATGCTAGTACTGACAGCATCCTTTGAACATTATAAGACATTGAGAAAGTTTAAAAGCCACTAAGCTTGCCAGTAAAACATAAATAATCCAATTAACATTTTCTAGAAACATGATGGCAAATGTTTAGGACACAGAACAGTAGGGACATGGAGGTAAGAGGCAAGGAGCATAAAGTATATAAGACTCATATAGTCAAGTCAAAATAAGAAGTGCACTAGATATTACTCTTTAGGACAACTCGGTGATTACATTTCTTACCTGCATCACTTATCTTCCTGATTGCCATGTTCATAGTGTCTGCAATATAAATGTTCCCTCTGTCATCTATGGCTAGGCCTTTTGGATGGTTCATCCTTGCCTCTCTGGGCTTCCCATCTACATGTCCAGGGTATCCTTCAGGGGATCCAGCAATGAGCCTAGGTCTACTATCTGCAGTTCTCCCATAAATTTAAATGAAATAATTACAAGAAAAGACTTGGCCATGGGAAAAATCAAAAGAATAGCATGACTCTAGAATTGTATGAGTAGACACCTATACCTTTACACATGATCAATCTTAACAGAGGTTTTAAGTATGCACTAGAGTGAAAAAAGATTAAAATGTTTGAGATGTCACACAAGTGGACATAAAAATTGCAGTGAATGGGTTACTGCATCAAAACAATTTAATAATAATAAAACTGAGCAGGAGCGCAATAAGAAAGTTCCATTAATTCACCAACTGTCTATGATAGATAGAAGGACAGCATTTACCATTTACCAGGTTCAGATAGAAAAAGTTATAATCCTCCAAACGACAGAACTGCTTTCAGTGATAGATCTATTTGTTGCCATCTTCTTTCCAGCAAAATGTAATAATATTGATAAAACATCGGTAGAACAATTATACCATTTTTCTAAGGTCTGACTAATCAATAGTTTTTCTACTGGAATGTTATCTCTTATCTGGATCTAACATTCAAAACTTCAAATATAAAAATAAGCCAAAATGCATTTTGGATTACATTAAAATGCTTGACACATGAAACAACTAGCCCTAAAAAGGCCATGAAAATAAAAAATTGCACTGACGACTGAGATGGAAATGGGGAAGGTATAACAACTAGGCAAAAACGTGCACTGTCCTTCATGAGGCAAGTTGAGTGATTGGACTTGACTGCCAACAGATGCAAATACCTCATGTGTTTTCCATCAATAACAAGACTTGGAACATTCAGTAACCGAATATAAAGTAAAGAGCTCGATTAAACAAACAAAGCAAAACATTCAGCTACTAAAAGGCAAATGAAACAAAATTAAAACAAAGCCAACCATTTGAATAATATCCCAAGAAAGAAGAACCCACTTACATAGAGATAAGGAAGCAGAAATCCGATAAAGGTTGCTATTAGCAGAGTCCAAAATCAGCAGCTCACCACTAGGCAAAACCTCAACAGTGTGAGGCTCAATCCCAAGCTTACTTCCATCAAACACAGTCTCCACATTGTATCCACCCTCAAACTTCATCATTGGACGGCCAGTAATTGCTATATGCACATAAATCCCATGGACGCCACTCTATCAGATACCAATCTCCAAAGCCAAAGACCAAAAAAAAAAAACAAAAAAGGATATGTGAGTTCTATTAGTCGGAGATCTAAACCTGTTTTGGTGGTAGTTTTGAGTGACCATAACCATTTCATAAAAGCAGACAAAGCATTAGAGAAAAATCCACTAACGATCTCTGCAAAAAAAAAAAAATCAAATGCCATCAAAGCAAGGATTTAATATAAGCGTTAAACTAAAAGCAGATCAAAACGAAGGCAAGCTTCTTTTTTTTTTTTGTTTGGAGCTTACTTGCAGGTGAAGAAGTAGTAGGAGCTGAAGAGACACCTCCAAGAAGGAGCAGAAGTAAAAGTGCAACACCCAAAACCAGCACATTTTTAACCATTGCGACTTTCAAGTTTCAACAAGAAAAATGAAAAACCAACAAAGAGCCCTTAGATATGAAAAGAGATTCACGCTTTACAACATTAAGAAGAAACCCAAACCCTAGTAGGAATCTGGGTCTTTAGCAGAAAAGTGAATGGACACACTGTGAGCAATAGAAAAACAGTATGCTTTTTCAATGGGTGTTTTTGTTTTTTTTTTTTCCTTCTAGTTTTCAAAAACCAAAAAAAGGAGAGGGTGAGAGAGTAATGCGTATAGAGTAGAGTGAGTGTGAAGAGGAGGAGAGAAGGGAAAGAAAGAGACAAGAAAAGGGAGGAAAAAGCAGTGAGAAAAAAAAAATAAGCGAAAGAGGCAAAGGGGACTCACTGTGACAGTGAGAGTAAGAGAGACAGAGACAGAGAGACAGAGAGAGAGAGAGAAAGAGAATCAACATGATGTGATTATGTCTTTGAAGGCTAAAATGCTACGGAGTTTGGCTTTGTTACAGAAAAAGAGAATGGTTTAGCAACAACGTTACATTTATTCTCTACCTAAATCCCCGGTTGTTTTTTCTTTCTTTTTTTTGTGTGTGTATTTTTAATGGGCATTTTTGTTCATACGGCTGGCACTGATGTTTTGCTTCGTCCACCTCTCTATACACTTCCTTTCTCTTGTTTCTTTTATAGAAATGAGTAAAGAAATGGCTACTCTTTTACTTGTTTTTATTTTGGGAGCATTACCTAATGTCTAAAGTAGCCATTGTAATTTCGCATCTAGGTTTCCCACGGTTGAGCATTCAATAATACAGCAGCAAAAGCAAAGGTGGGCCTCTTTAAAGCTAAAGCATGCTGGACTTGTTTAACTTGTCAAATGTAGACTATGCCTGCCACTGCCAGGTTTCACTCAGGTTATTAAGAGGAAATTAGTCGAGAATAATGCTTACTTTACCCTAATGACTTTCATGACAGAATTTTAGTTGGTGGTCTTGTGGTCCAGCACCATCCTCCCTCTATGCTGCTGCTCTAGCTGAATTCACCTGACATGATTTGTATTCTATAACCCAACAGGATGGAGGTAAAAGTTTTGGGTGTGAAATCCCGAGAGAAACTAGTAGCAAAAATGGGCTGAGCAAGCCACCCAACCCATTTTCTTCTTCATGGACAGGCTTGGTGATAAGGTGACGAAAGTTAGGTTGGTGAGAGGATGATAGCTACCCCTGCCTGCCCCATAGCAAGCTGTCAATTTAAATAATGCCATGTGAAATAAGGATAGCTATCAAGTAGGACTTGGTCATCTTTGAAGTGATTGTACTAGTAGACAAGGCTCTTTTGCACTAGGGAGGCAGATTCCCCCCACTCTCTCCTTTCAGTTCTCTAATGAAATATAAGATTTTAGAGATGCTGAAATCAATTGCAACATGGCAGCTTTGTATCTTGTTGGTTGACAAATGTTTTCTGCTTTATTTTCTTTTCTGATTATGAATGCATTGGCAATGGCATAGGCATGGCCCATGCTTGTGTCTTGATCTAGGGTCAAGGGTTTGCCCTGCATGCCAAGAGACCAAAAGAAGGAACAAAGCAGAGCCGATGTAACAGCTTCCACTGTGCTTCTTGTTTGTCTTGACATCACAAAGAGAGAACAATTGCTACAGGTAAATAGCCGGCCTCTCCCTTCTTCTTCTTTTCTTTTTTTTTCCCCCTTTATTCGATTCTCTTTGCTTCGCCAAATCTGATCAATGATTCCCAAAAGGACTGAATCATTTTTCTTTCCCACTCAGAACCTTTAAATTATTGCGTTGGGAACAACACGATCTGGATATTTTGTCTATAAAAAGAGGCCCACGGCCTTGTAGGGCCTAGGTACATATTCCAGATATCCTACAACCCAAACAGCCCATTCAATCTTGAACCCACTAGCAACTATCACTTCACACAAATGTCTCTACTCTAGTTTTAAGATGTATAAATCCTTTTCTTCGGGGGGAACATTTCTCATGACATGCCATACTGAAATCAAATTGGCATTTTGTGTTGGAAAGCAATGTATCTATACAAGTTAACGGTGCCTCTACTCAGTAAGAAAACCACTATAAACAAGTGTGAACTGATCCCATAATTTTTGCTGGCACCATGACTGACATCACCATACACAAGAATAAAGCATATTTGTCAGCTCCTCCATCCCATTTAAATCTCCCAATCACCTTCCAGCCAAGTGTACCATTTCAAGAGCTGGTATAGCATTACAACTGAATCTGGCGAGTACCGACAAAGCTTCATATAAGTTATAATCGAGTATTCCCTTATTCAGGGAAATCCCTTGCAGCAAATCAGAGATTCCATCATACACAACTCGTAAATTCGTACCAGCCACTCTGTTTTAAGTCAAGCACTACTCTCAAAGGAAACCTGGGTCTCAGGGAGGCACCTAGGCTTTGAACTAGTAGCAGTTGCAAGACCTTGAAGCAATTTCAACACGTCAGCAGCATCATCAAGGTAATACTTCGCTTTGCTAGGTTTTCGCCCAACAGTGCATGCGAAGATTTCTGGAGCCACAGGCAAGGATGGATTAGAAACAGATGTTAATATGCTCTGAAACATATCTTCATCGGATTTATCATCACCAACACACATCACAAAATCAGGTGGCTTCCCGCCATTGACCATTCTCGACAGAACCTTTTCTGCAACCACCCCTTTACTTACTGCCTGAATAATAAAGAACATTTATTAGAAAGCTCAATTCAACAATACTATGAACATATATATCAGAGAGGGAAAAAGACAGGTGCCAGCATTTTGAATGGTAAAACAATTTTGTCATACCTGTGGCTTAACTTCAACAATATGCTGGCCTCTCTTAACAACTGCTGGTTCATTTGCAAGAACATTCTCCAGATGATCCAACAATTCCTTGGCTTGGCATGACCCAAAGTCAGGGTCTGCGTCCTGATGGTGCCACACCAAAGCACTCTCCTTAGTCTCTATGCAGGAGCCATCTGTTGCCTCTCTATACAGGCTCATAACAGGTTTCACAATCTTTTTCCATTCAAGGTCAGCACCCACAGGGCTGGTTTCCCATTCAGAGTCTTTACTCCATCTGCAGGAAGAGAATGGAAAAGACCTCAGTTTATTTTAAGGCATTTAAATTTAGCACTAGCTAAATGTTCAAAAAATTTTAAGGAGCATACCTTATGAAGTACCCATGTTCAGCAGCTATTCCCAGCATCTCACATGGAGCCAGCCAATCACTAAGTGAAGCTCTCCCTCTTCCACTAACAATAAACACAGTGTTCTTAGGATCGTCACAAAGAGTCTTAAGGATAGAGATAACTTCAGGGCTAGGAGTTTTAATAATGGAAGCTTCAGGAACAACAGTGCCGTCATAGTCCAGAAATATTGCTCTTCTATTTGTTCGCTTATAAGATGAAACAATGTGATCAATACCCAGCCTCCTAAAACTAGGAGAAAGAGAGACAACTCGGAAACCAAGGCCCAAACCAATGCCCCAGCAACGTTTACTATAATGATCTTGGCATGCTCTTTCCAAGTCCTGGGCGAAGCTGTGAGCCCAATAAGCCACATCATGAGTACTGACATACCGATAGTGTTTCTCATGTCGCAATTGCTTCTCAGACTCAGGGATGGTAATAGCTGTATTTAAGGCCTCAGCAACGGCATCAATATCCCATGGATTTACCCTAATCGCTCCACTTAAAGAAGGTGAGCAACCAATGAACTCAGACACAACAAGCATGCTTGTTCGTGAAGAACCTGACTTTATACCTAGAGCCTCATCCATAAAAGGAGTTCCCTGCCTACAAACAATATACTTGTAAGGAACCAAGTTCATCCCATCCCTCACAGCATTAACTATGCAACATTCTGCAAGTGCATAATAGGCAGATTTCTCAAAACGAGGAACAGGACGATCAATCAAAATCACTGGCTGATAATTGGGTGAACCATAAACCTCATTGATCTTTTTAGCAGTCAGATATGTCTCCTTCTTTGCTTCCTGAACATCCTTCCCAGAGCCCCTAGCAGGATTCACAATCTGAACCAGGACTATTTTACCCTGCAAGTCTGGATGCTGCCGGAGGAGCTGTTCCACAGCCAGTAGTTTTAGACTGATGCCCTTGAAAATATCCATATCATCTACACCAAGAATCAATTTTTTCCCTTCAAACTGCTTCTGAATCTCTTTGACCTTGCAAGCAGTAGAGGGAAGATTTAACACCGATTCAAGTCGACCCATATGAACTCCTACAGGCAGAATTTTAATAAACACCGTGCGGCCAAAGTAATCAAGACCAATGTGCCCTCTTTTAGATTCATAATCAAGGCCCAGCATTCGACTGCAACAAGACAAGAAATGCCGTGCATAATCAAATGTATGAAAACCAATTAGATCGCAATTCAGTAAGCCCCTCAGAATTTCATCCCTAACAGGCAATGTTCGATATATTTCTGATGAAGGAAATGGGCTGTGGAGGAAGAACCCAAGCTTGATTCTATGAAAGCGTTTCCTCAAAAATGTGGGAAGAACCATCAGGTGATAATCATGAACCCAAACATAATCATCATCTGGATTTATTACTTCCATAACCTTGTCAGCAAATATTTTATTAGCAGAAACATATGCCTGCCATTGAAAACGATCAAACCGATCACCATGGTCTGGACAAATGGGCAGCATGTAGTGGAAAAGTGGCCACAACTGCTGTTTACAAAAACCAAGATAAAACTTCTTCTGCAAATCTTGAGGTAGAAATGTAGGAACACAATTAAATTCCTCTAACAGTTTTTGGGCAACTTCCTCCTGTTCACTGGCATCTATATCAACCTTGAGGGATCCCACGTGTATAACCTCCGTTTCAGGAGTAAAACCATCCTTTAGTTGTAGTCGAAGTGAATCCTCATCCAAGCTGAAGCGCCATTTAGAGGTTTCTGCATCTCTTTTAGCATGCAAAGGCAACATATTTGCCACTATAATTTTGCGTTCTCTACAACCCGAAGAAGTAACATCTGAATCCCCATCATTACTGCTACAATAATCCATGTCAGAGATGATCCCAGGAACAGTCATCACCCGAGGGAGAGCTCTTGGAGTTTGAGGAATATCCAGTAGGTCTCCAGAAACCAAGTGTAAAAAACTTGCACATGATCTTGATGCCATGAAAGATTTTATTCTAGGAAGGCATACAAAAAAAAACCCGCACTACAAGAAAATGATCGGATTAAAATGTCAGAGAAAGAGCAAATATAGATCAATCGAGCGTTCAAACACTACTCAAACCAAATAACAGAGTAACTTTATTATTAACACTTTATAGATATCAAGCCCGGGTCATTCTTTCTGGATGTTTTTTCTTTACAGATGTGACTTTTCACAATATTCTACAACATTTTCTTACAGATCATTCTTTAGCATACTCATATTAATTGTTCAGTTTACTAGGATGGCCAAAACAAATAATAATGATAACAATTAGTACAAAAGAAGCCTTCAGAGTTTTCTTTGTCTTATTCTTTGCCAAAACAAGATCCGAAACCTTTCTTTGATCCTAGGTAATATCTCTACAAAAAAAAATAAACGATAATTTAAAATAATAAGAAACAAGAAGTGGGCCAATTGGATAACCAAAGAAAGGAAATCAAAGGAAAACTCGAAATCTTAGGTCACAGCTACGCACAAAGAACTCTAACAAATTAATATAGTTAAAACAAACAAACAAACACAGAAAAAATAAAAGAAACGAACACAACTGAAAAGTAATGATACAGTTCCTGGTGGAAGTTACACGCCAAGAATCTCAGCAGAAAATAAAGATTCTAGTTGATCGAATTTCTTTTTATCTAATTGTAAGAAATTATAAAGGTAGAACCGATCAACACTAACTATACGGTTCCTCGGTTCAACGTAACCAAAATAAACGATATTTAAAAAGAAAAGAAAAACATCGATTTGGTTTCTTTTCCCCGCATTTTCTAAGCTACCAAACAAGAGATAAGGAACACTCGAAGGAACTGAGAGTGAATCAATAACAGTAGATCAAGCAGAGGGAGGGAGTAAACAAAACGACGGTGCAACGGTCAAAATTCGGGAGGGAGCTGCTTACCTGGCCGTTACGGCGGTTGAAAAATCCACGGCCGATGAGAGGCGGTTTTTGGTGGTTAAAACGAAATCGGAAAGTTGGTTAAAGTTGAAGGAGATAAAGTAGACAGAGGAGGAAGGCGTGAGGAATGAGACAGCATGAAAATGGAGGGTGCGTTGGATGTTCAATAGAGATTAGAGAGAAATAAAGAATGCAATGAGAAAAGTGAAAAATTGAAGAAAATATATATTGTTTTTTTTATTTATTATTGAATTGCCATTTGCGAACAGGATAATATCAATGTTTCCCTTCTTTACCTGGGTTACTTTTTTAACCATGGTTTTTCTCTTTTTGGATTAGGCTCGTGTTTTTACATAAATACCCCTGTCTAGGCGGCGGTATTTGCCTATTACTAAAAAGGGGAGGAAATAGCATAAATTTTGACATTGTAGAATAGAATTCAAGTGATTAAAGTCCAAGTGAAATTTTTTACTTTTTGTTTTGAATTGAATTATGGTCAATTTTAGGCTATTTGATGGTCAAATATCTTAATTTTTTTTAGAATTAAAATTATAAGTAATTAAGCATTTTTGTTTTACTACTTTTATGGTTTTAATATCTGTTTGTGATTTTATTTTAAAATAACTTTTGCTAGAAAACAATATTTGTTTCTAAATGATTTTTTTTAGGATAATTTTATCAAAAAAATAACAATTTGCATTATAAATGCACCCATTTTTTGATTTGAACATCAAAATCTCAAAAAATAAAATCTTAAATTTTAATTGTTGAAATGTTCAATTGTCTAGTTGGGAATAATTAAAAAAATATGCAGAGAAATTTAACAATATTTATTTTACCTCAATATTGTATAAATTACATGCATAATTAATATGGAGATAGTTTAAATGATTTGGATTAATATTATTTGAATTGAAACTTTGGTTTATTTCACTGCCTTTTTTTTTTTTTGAATAGGTGGTTTATGTCAGAATTAGTGGAGCTTTTTTTTTCATTATCTTTTGATGATACGATTAATAAAAAATTATTATAAAATTAATTTGTGGAATTATTTGAGTGACCAAAGTCATGTTGTTTATGACTATATGAAATAGTACGTAGTAATACTTATTTTTAATTAATATATTTTCTTTTAGAGAAGAAAAGGCAAACTTTCTTCGGCGTCGATGTGGAGTGTGGAAATTAACACGAATTTACCTACTGTTAGGTTGGGACCTTAGGGTTGTGGTATGAAGAATATATACACATATATTATGCATAATTTATTAGAATGGAATTTGACAATTGAACAATAACGATTGTTTTCTCTCTCTCCTTTTTTGTCTTCTACATGAAAGATTTGGAGGTCTGGTTGAAAACAGTAATTATTCATTATCAAGGTTAAGCTATAATTATGAGAAAGTGAAGAAAATCCTGGTATTGATTAAGGTTGATTAGGGGTAGGTTCATTAACCGAAACAACTATATATATATATAAAAAAATTTAGGTAGAGCATAAAGAATATTATCCTCTAACACATTTTGCCTTGTCTACTATACTTTGTATTCTTAAATTAATGGACAAATCATAGGTCAAATGTGGAGAGATTAAGGCTAGGCAGCTATATGTTAATTATTATTTTTTGGATATAAACTCCAAGTCTAACTAAGCCCTACCTATTATAGTTATTGTAAAATATAGTATCCTTTGTGCATGGCTAATTAGGATTGCTTTCAATATCTTAGTTAAAGATGTACTTTATACAATGTTAGGTAAATTCTTATTCTATATCTTTTTATTTTTATAATTTTTGAATAATTTAAATTGCCTTCGTAAATAATTTTATCTCCCTCCTTAACCTATGGGTATTGTTTTCTTCATATTTAAGGAAGAGACTCCACAAACAATGCTGGTATTATAAAATACCAGTACCTAATTAAGCTTTAAATAAACCCTAGATATTTCTACACTTGTTATAAAAATCGGGTGCATGCATCAGCCGACAGGTCGAGAGGACAATCTTCGCAAACATCTTCCACTCTCCTCTTTTGCCCTCCTATTAATAGTAATATTACTTTTAAGTATTTATTAGCTACAAAACTGGAGGGGGTATTTGTTGTAAATACAAGTAATGACATGGGTAATTTGAAGTACGAGGCCAAAAGCATTAATTAATTGTTAGGAGTTGGAACTCGGGAGTGGAACAGACGGATGAGCTGTGTGCTAATAAATGACAGGCTGGGCCACGCGTTTGGTTCCCACAAAGTAAGTAATTATTGTATTAATAACTTCTTCTGTGTTTTTTTCTCCTTCATTCTTTAATATACTTACAAGCCTCAAAAAATGAAAAAAATAAAACAAAATAGACTTTGACTGGGGCGAGTCGCGCATGACCCCAGACAGCACGCCACTTCAGTTTCCTAGCTGGCAATTTGGATAAGCATCGGCAATAGCAATACCCTAACCCACTTCTATTTAAAAAATAAAAAAATCCCCGGCTCTCGTGTTTCGTGGCTATTCACCAAATATTGTTGGACCCCACAATCTATGCGTCCTTTCGCTCATTTAGTTGATTAAGGGTTTAAAATTTAAAATAAAATAAAATAAAAACTTTAGAATATGCAATAGAGTCCAATTATTCTACCAGTTACTTTTCTGTAAAAAAAAAAAATTGTTATTGTTTGATTTTTTTCCGATAAAATTTAATAATTTTAGTGAATTAAATGTCAAAAACGACATATTTAAAAAGTGTTTAACCGGTAATTAATTTAAAACTTACTTATAAAAAGTCAATCAATGATAACTTTTTGAAGTTAAAAAAGTATATATATTATATACATAATTAAACAGTTAACATTCAGAGGCAATAATGTTTACTCATAAAAAAGAAACAGGAATCATTTTTCATGTAATCCACATCCACACGTGGGTTTATATTTAAAATTTTGCTTGCCATGGAAGTATAGGGGATACCAATTTTGGTTTCAAGGCTTCTGTTGGGTACACCAACCTCTGTTTCAATAAAACGATGGTATGCATAACAAGGCACGGGGTTAGGTAAGAGATAATTGGTTAATATTTATTGTTGCTGGACATCACGTGCTAATTTGTTCTTGTTTCTTAATCCAAAAATGTTCACTAGTGAAGAGGGGGGAAAATAGATGCCGACAAAATTTATGAGTAACATCTGTAATATCAAGTAGTTATTCATTTTTAAAATGTTTTAAACATTGTTGTTCGGACGTTCATGGTTGACGACAGACACGTGTTTATTCATAATTTTGTAGGTACAGTTAGTATTATTTTTATAATTATATTCAAGTCTTCAAAATTTATAATATATAAAAAAATGCATTATATCCAACTAACATATCATAAGAAAATTAAATTTTTTATTTTCAAAAGGAAAAAAAAATTAAATTTTAGAAAAAAACAATTTGACAAAATTTCAAATATATGTTAAAACAACATTATTTAGCAATGGAAAATGATAAAATAATAAATAATTTTTCATTGAATCGAATTAAACTTGTTCAATTTGCACCATTTTTTTTCTGCTGTTGTATTTATGCGCCTATTAGTTCGTATCAATTAAAAATAAATTAATTTTATTTAGAAAAAGTATGATATCAAATGTTTTACTTGTGTAACTTAATTACTAGCACTCTTTCCAAATGTATTAAACATAATTCTTTTCCAAAGGTTCGAAAACAACATTTATGAAAAATCTAACTCTTGCTTTTACTTTGGATTAATCCGGTTTAATCTAAGTTCAAGATTAATAATTTTGGTTACTGAACCCAAGAAGGGTAGGATTTTACCTTTTAATATATGATGTCATATAGAATAATAGATGGTATAATTAGATAGTATTTTTAACATTTTAAAAATAAAAAAAAAAGATTTTTCAAAGATTTTAAAAGATATTGATATTTTTGAATAATGTATTGAATTAAATAAATACCATAAATGTAACATAAACATTAAATTTGTGAATTGTAATGAAAATGGATTTTTCACATAAACATTCACGTCAGCATATATGTAATATTCTTTCAATAAATACTAACCAATAATTTCTGGGTTTTGGATTTTCTGCCGAAGGTCTTTTGACTTTTGATCCAATAAAACGATTATGCAGAGGCGGCGCAAAGCATTTTCAGCCTGCAGTGGTATAACGGTAATTCTATGGAACACAGAGTCCTATTGAAATTAAAGATTAACATTTTTTTTTTTACATTTCAAGGGAAAACCAGATAAAAAATTAAAAATTCTTCTTCCATTTTCCTCGTCCCAAACTCAAACTCCCACCCACCGTCTCGTACGGACATCGAAACACGTGTAACACTCCCTCGCCTCCTCGCAACGGCCTAATTCCTGAACACGACGTGGGACCCGCCTAGGAACCGATTTTTGGGGCAGCCCATCTTATCTGTACACGTCTTCTCAATGTTGGAAATCGTGGTTATCTTAGCCTTCACACGTGTTTAGCACGTGAGGGTAGAAGTGAAAGGATTGGGACTCGAGGGAGGAGGGTAGGACCTCCGAAAGAGAAATGTAAAAATTTCGAACCATGTGTGGGGCCAGATTTTATCTGGTCGCCGCATTCCACGGATTGGCGAAAAATATAAAAGGGATGCCCATTTCGTCTCTATCCAAAACTATCGGATGGTCCGTCAACCTTTTAGCAGAGAATGTTCCTAGCGTATCTTTCACGCACCGATTTTTTCCTTTTTTTTATATATAATTTTCGATATAATTACAGAATTTTAGTTTGTGAAGCTCATCATCGATGTTGTAATTAGCACAAGCTATTGCACTGTTGGGCTCTAATAAACTTCCAACAAAGTTACTAGTTGCTATATATAAATAAAACAAATGAAATTTGATTAGGTAGTAACCCATATACAAGGCATCACCTATTGATTGTCAAACATCAAAAATAAAAATCAAAGAGATTGAAGAATCCTTTTGTCATCAAAAGGTTGAAACAGTTTGATTTAGATCTGCAGAAGATTATGAAGCTTGGGATGTAATCTCTGTCGCGTTGACTTTGATGATACAATCGTTTTATGCCATGATGGATTGGGCATGGTGGGTGCTGGATTGGGATGACCAAGAGTGTGGACGGCGAGCTTCTGTTGTTTTGTCAAGTATATATGGACTATATGATTGGGACTTGTATAAGTCATATTCTAATATTCTCTTCTTTCTTTCTTTTTTTCCCTTTTGGACGCGTCTA